ATCTTTTCAGAAGAATATAAGGTAGTCTCAAGCTTCCATGAGGCATCATTTGAACAAAAGTGCCTTTTTGTTGCTTTGTTTGAGCATTGCTAAATTAAGTTTTCAAAATGTTTACAGTTCATATATTTATGACATCAATAATTGTTAAGATTAAATACACATTTACATCCATCTTCCTAAAGTTCTGATTTATGATTAAATTTATTGTGTCTTACGTGTTTTTAATTGAAAGCCGCAAATCAAAATTTAGAATTCTTTTCAAATGTATGAATACAGATACTCATGTATTAGAGCATAATCCTAAATGAATCATCTTAAAAGTAAGGACTTCTTAGTTTTAGGCAACTTATTTCTGCAGAGGATTTTTTTTCTGTGCAAAATTTCAGAAAATCCTATAATTATATTATCCCATTTGTGCCATTTGTTATTTATTTGCATAGATTAATTTGACTGCATTGTGCTAAACTTTAAGTTAACATTTATTTCCTGAGTTAATTTGTTGTTTGACCTGCAGCTTACATTTGTTTGTTTGTTTGTCAAGATAATAAGTTAACAAGTATAGGTATGAACATAAACATGAACAAAGTAAGTAAATACAGATAAATGGGGACAGTAAGACAGGGGTGGTAGGCATGCCCCCTTTACGGACCTCTTAAAAATGGGGTGAGGTCCACAGGAGACACTTTAAGATTGAAACTGTGAGGGTTTGAGGCTGTAACAACAGAGTCAGGTAGAGCATTCCAGGCATTAACCACTCTGTTGCTGAAGTCGTACTTTCTGCAATCGAGTTTGAAGTGGTTTACTTTGAGTTTGTATTGATTGTTTGCCTGTGCATTGTTGTGGTTGAAGCTGAAGAATTCATTGACAGGCAAGACGTTATAGCAGACAATTTTGTGCACTATGCTTAGATCGAACCACAGGCAGCACAGTTCCAGATTGTCCAAGCCCCAAATTTCAAGCCTAGTGGCATGGGGAATTCTATTGGGTATTGGGGAGTGGAGTACTCTTCTCTGAAATACCTCTGAACCCGCTAAATCCTGTTAATGTCTGATATACAGTGTGGATTCCAGGAGTACAAGCTGTATTCAAGAATTGGTCTGGCAAAGGTTTTATATGTCCTAGTTAGCAATGCAGTGTTACCAGAGAAGAAGATTTGCAAAATTCAGTTAACAACTCTTAATGCCATTTTGGCAGTGCTGTTACAGTGAGCTCTGGGGCTTAGATCATTTGAGATGAATACTCCTAGGTCATTGACAGAGTGAGGGTTATATACCAGATTGTTTCTGCCCAACTTGTATTTGGCGTTCTGATTTTTATTGCCAATGTGTAGGACAGAGCATTTATTAGTTGAAATTTGGATTTGCCAAATTTATTAGCTTAATGCCAGAAATGGCTATCTAATTTGGTATAATAAACTTTAAAAACATTATTTTGCCTCAACATTATAATAGCAATAAAGTAATTAGAATCTTACTGTCTTTTCATGGTATACATTCTGAAACTCAGTCTAAATAGGTACATTTTTCCACAAAAAATCACTTGATCATGTTGTCTTTTAATAAATAGTACATAATAATTATTTAAGAAATATTGATAATTACTGTTAGATACTTGTTCTAACTACAGTGGTTTCCACCAAGGCCATCTGTTCCGGCGGGAACAGAGGTTTAATCCTATTGGTCGAAGGGTCTGACAGCTCCCTATAAAAGGGTTGCTGTCAGACTCAACCTTCGCTGGATTGTACTCACTTGTTGTACTTAATAAAGAGTTGTTGTTACTGTTAAGCCTGTGTGTGCCTATCCATTACCCAATCTAACACTGGTGACAAGGTGAGATTGGGAAGGAACTAGGCGAACCAAAAAGAGCGTAGCAATCCAGCAAGTACATCCAGCCTGGAGCTCAGCACGGCTTTCAGTAGCCATTTTTGAGTGGCAAACTGAAAACGCCCTCAGAATACAAAATGGTCATGCATACCCCACCGACTCCGTATGACCCAGTCACCGAGCACTGGGACGCGTACATGCTACGATGTGACTGCTTTCTCAAGGCAAACAACCTCATGGGCCTTTCTAAAGGCTGCAAGAAGAACATGTTCCTCAGATATTGTGGCCGGGAAGTGTTCGAGATGGCAAAAGAACTCTCTGAGCTAACACCACTACAATCAGTCGTCTGGTCTGTGCTTCAGCAGATGCTAAGGACTATGCCCCCAAGCCGTCCAAGCATGTTCGTTGGCATGAGTTTAACATCAGGAACCAGAAAGAGGGCGAGTCGATTAATGAGTATGTTGCGGCGCTTTGCAAGGCCGCAGCGTACTGCAAATTCTGAAACCTGCACAAGCTGATTCTGGACCACATAATTTGCGGTGTGTGGGACATTAACCTACAGAGGAGGTTACTCACTAAATCTAACCTCACTCTGCAGATCGCTTTGGACGAAGCCAGGGCTTCAGAATCAGCCATCAAATCTACTGAGACTGCAGTGCCAAAGTACTCCAAAGATGCGCAAAAGAGTACATGCGTACAGGCTGCAGAGCCCGAGAGCTCAGAAGGCGAGGAAGATGACAGCTGCCGCATGTGCAGTAGCCACACCCAGCCTGTGCGCAAATTCAAACTGCATCTCCCACCTTGCACTAGCTGTGGAGGACACCATGCCAGATCAGCTTGCTGTTTCTGTGACACAACCTGCCAGTGCCACGAGTGAAAGGGCCACATTGAGCCGAGGTGGCGCAGTGGTTAAATGCAGCACAGCAGTTCAGCAGTTTGGCTGTTCAAATCCCACCAGGCTCAAGGTTGACTCAGC